TTCCTTTTATCACATAGCACATATACAATAATTATTAATCATATATCATATAACATGTATATTGTATCTATTCATATGAATCATGTACCATTATCAAATACTATAAACATATATAACTTATGCATATATTTATAATAATCATCATGTATGTTCATAAATTACTATGCTATAAGTACTAACATAGGAATAGACTTACCACAAGTCATAATTCATTTGAACTATATCTATAGTATGCACTCACCTTGGCCTCACTTAGTTTCCAAAACCACCTCTTTGAATCGAATCCAAATTCGGTGATCGATCCGAAACTTACTTGTACTCAATATCTACACAATCACACATTTCCGATTACTATAATTATACCCTTAATTCCTTAAACTAAAAGAAAAGCTATTTTCATTTCTTATTTATGGTAGGTATCGATACAATGTATAGGGTTTCGATACACCCCTTAACTTGTGTATCGATACACTACCTATGTATCGGTATACAAATTACATTCAAAGTTTTCATTTAAAGGGGGTATCGATTCACTACCTATGTATTGATACCCTTTGAATATATTTCTGTATTTTACTCCTGATGTATCGTTACCTATTGAATGTGTACCGATACACCCTAGCCCAGAATTACATTTTTAGCACGAAAATCACTTCATTCTAGCTCAATTGTACCATATTTAAACCCGTTTCATATCCTTAACTTACATACACCTACTTAAACCAATTAATACTCATTCAATACCACTTTAACTTCAAAATCCAATCCTCCACATATCATTCAAGAATCACACTCAAATCTCAACATGTTCGAAATCTAATTCTAACACTTCATATCTCTTAATTATGTTGATGACAAGTCAAATTTGGTCTGAAAATCTAATTACTATCTTTCTATCAAAATTTCACTTATTCCTTAAATTCAACAAGAAATTAACTAATAAGAAATCTCACCTTTGGCTTGGCTCTCACATATGAAGGAATATGAAGAAGAGGAGAACTCTGGAACTTTTGTGTGATTTCCTCTTCAATCCACATGGGTTAATATAAACCCATCCAATTTTTTTTTATTATTTCCTTACTAAAAGACCATTTTGTCCTTCAATTCCTTCTTTTTTATAATTTGATCATACACAACATTCCCATATAAATCCTTATACTATTCAATTATTACACTTTAGTCACCAAATTCTGAAATATTTCAATTTAGTCACTAACCCGATATTGAGGATATTACACTTATCTACTACAAAATCTTTGGCAGGATATGGATTACTACCAATGTATTCAAATGAGGTGTAGTGAAGATACAATAACCCTAAAGAGGTTTGTTGAAAAAGATAGAATTTGCAATTTTCTTGTTGGACTAAATATTGAATTCAATGCAATAAGAGTCCAGATTCTTGAAAAGGAAGAAATTTCCTCACTAAATGAAGTTATTGCAATCATTCATGCTGAGGAAGGAAGAAGAGGAGTAATGATTGAATGCAGTCAAGTGGAGAGTTCAGCCTTAGTCACTAAAGTTGTAACCGAGAGGGAAATTGGTTTGGAACAATATATCACTAAAGAAAATTAATCAGAAGTAGAAAAAACGGTGAATAAGGACTCTCTATGGTGCACCTACTGCAAGAAACCTTGCCACACAAAAGAGAAGTGTTGGAAACTTTATGAAAAACCAAAAATAACAAGTAGAAATTTCCAGAAAAGAGGATCATCAAGGGGACAAGGAAGAGCATATACAACCAAACACTTGGTTGAGGAGAACTATCAAGAACAACCTGTTGAGTTCAACAAAGAAAAAAATAGAGAAACTAAAAAAAAATTCTAGGGTCACTAGAAAACTCCCACTCTACAGGTACATGCAGTCTAGTTTTCTCAGGTATATATTCTTCTCAGAACTCTAAGGCCTCAGATTTACCTACCCAAAGCTCCTGGGTAATTGACTCAGGAGCTACAAACCATATGTGCAATTCTTCACTCAGATTTATCACTTATACACCCTGTCCTAGCAACAAAAAAAATAATTGTTGGCTAAGAAGATATTGTTATAAGCAAAAACCTTGCACTAAAAAATGTCCTTCACATACCAAAATTGTTTAGTAATCTTCTATCTATCCAAAAATTTACCAAGGACACTAACTGCAGTGTTCTTTTTCATTCCTCTCAATACATTTTTTAGGTACAACGAACGAAGAAGATGATTGGACGTGCTAAGTAAATGGCTTATATTATCTTGAAGACCCCAGTGAACAAGTCAGTGCCCTGAACTCCCCAACTTTTCGCTTTTATTATAATCCAAAAACAATACAGACTAAATATGGCTTTATCATCTCTGCCTTGGTCACCACTCCTTTAAAGTTCTAAAACTTATGTTTTCCCCTTTGTTCAAATCCTTAAATATTGAAGAATTCCATTATGACTTATGTGAACTTGCAAAACATAAAAGAACTTTTCCAGTAAGTAATAAAAAAGCCTTCAATCCTTTTATCCTTATTCAAAATGATGTTTGGGGACCATCATTATTCCAAATATAATTAGGGCCTGATGGTTTCTCTCATTCATAGATAATTGTACTCGGGTGTCATGGATATTTATTCAAAAACAGAAATAAGATTTAACCTATACTTTTCAAACCTTTTATACCATGATTAAGACTTAGTTTGGGGCAGACATAAAAAGGTTTCGATCATACAATGCTGAAGACTATTTCAACCAAGTCCTATCACCTTATTTCCAAGAAAAAGGCATCATAAATGAGTCCCCTTGTGTGAATACCCCTCAACAGAATGGTGTGGCAGAAAAAAGAATGGCCATATCCTTGCCATAACAAGAGCCCTTTTATTTTAAAAAAATGTCTCTAAACAGTATTGGGGGGAAGTTGTGTTAACCACCACCTATATGATCAATACACTACCCACTAAAGTCCTTGAATCCCAAAGTCTTATTCAAATCCTAACCGATTTCTTCCCAAATTTCAGCCTCTCACTTAACCTTAAACCTAAAATATTTGGTTGTGTTGCATTTGTCCATATACAATCTCAAAATAGGGGAAAGCTTGATCCAATAGCATTAAAATATATCTTTGTTGGTTACTCTTCCACTCAAAAGGGGTATAAATGTTATCATCCACCTACAAGGAAACACTTTTGTCGGCTAATGTTGTTTTTGTAGAAAAGGAAAGTTATTTTACTCACCCTTATCTTCAGGGGAGATTTCATTCAAGGAATATAAGGACAAAAATTATTTCTTACTTCAGCCTCTCATTGAATTTCCTACACCAACCCATCAATCTAATTCTGTCTATCAACCAATCCAACCTCTCTAACAGTCTGGTTTTAACCAACAACCTGTTTTTGACTAGCCTTCCACCTTACAATATAATTATAATAGCCCTCATCAAAAACCTCAGGACACTACTCGTCCTCTGCTGGTCTACTCGAGGAAGAAGGCACTAGTGCAAGTCCAATCATCCCATTCCTCTCCTACAAAACAAGGTAACTACCGAATCTAACTTTGATCTAAATGCCACTGAAAATTTTGACTTTGTTTCTGATCACAGAGATTTTGATTTCCTATTGCAATTAGAAAATGAAAAAGAACTTGCACCACAAAAAACCCTCATTATCTATTTATGTCCTACAAGAACATATCTAGTAATCACAAGGCACTCTTTACTACCCTAAATACCATTTCATTCCTAAAAATGTGTCTGGTGCAATAAAAAATGAGAATTGGAAGAATTCAATGAAAGCTAAGATGGAAACATTTGAGAAGAACAAAACATGGGACTTCGTGAATCTTCCAGAAGGGAAGAAAACAGGGGGTGTAGATGGGTGTTTAAGTAAAATACAAATCAGACGGTTCTTTAGAAAGGTACAAAGCAAGGTTAGTTGTTAAAGGGTACTCCCAAACTCATTAGATAGACTACCTTGACACATTTGCTCCTGTCTCAAAGATGAACATTGTGAGAATTTTATTGTCATTAGCTGCCAATCAAGGATGGAAATTACAGTAGTATAACATTAAGAATGCTTTTTTTTTCATGGGGATCTTGAGAAGAAAGTCTACATAGATATTCCACCTAGATTTGGTTCAAGTAGTGAGCAAGCATTGTGTAGATTAAAGAAGGCCATGTATGGGCTGAAGCAGTCCCCAAGGGCCTAGTTTTGGGAGATTTACCAAAGTGATGCTGAGACTGGGCTACAAACAAAGTCAAGATGATCATACTTTATTTGTGAAATATTCCTCTTTATGTGGAGTTACTTCTTTACTGGTTTATGTAGATGATATCATAGATACAAGAGATGATTTGAAAGGGATTGATGATTGAAAGAAGCCTTTGGTGAAGGAATTTGAAGTTAAAGATCTTGGAAGACTAAAATACTTCCTTGGGATTGAAGTGGCACATTCACAACAATGAATCTTCATATCCCAAGAGAAATACAACCTAGATTTGTTGACAGAAATTGTCAAACTAGGATGCTAGCCAGCAGAATAGAAGTTAATCACAAACTCGAAGATTTGATAGAAGATTTGATAGAGGATGCAGCAGATGATAGAAGCTCTTATCAGAGACTTGTGGGAAGACTGGTTTATTAATCACACACTAGACCTGACATTGCTTACGTAGTTAGAGTTGTGAGCCAATTTATGCACAATCCTAAAGAATCACACCTAAGAGCAGTAACTCAAATCCTACAGTATTTGAAGAGTACACCAGACAGGAATTATATTTAAAAAGGGAGAAAATTTGACTTTGGAAACCTATATTGATGTTGATTATGTAGGAACTATGATTGATGGAAGATCAACTTCAGGATATTGCACCCTTCTTGAAGGAAATTTAGTGACATGGAGAAGTAAAAAACAGAATGTGGTGGCTGAAGCTGAGTTTAAAGCAATAGCACTTGGTATTATAATCTGTGTATAAATATGTAACAAATCCTACAGAACAAAAATAAGTTTTACAGTGAATTACTCGACTTTTAACAGGAAGAAAAGCAAATTTTCCCCACTTTTCTTTTGGGAAACTATTGGATTGAAATAATCGTTAACTTAATATTGATTCTGTTAAGGCTGCACCCTTGCCTTGTTTGAGATCTTTACTTATCTAGGGTGCTCTAGTTATCTATATGTTTGTATGCATGTTTCTGCTAGCATTGGTGGATCATTTGTTTGTAGGGATGTATGCATGTGTAAACGAATGTGATAGCATGCTATGTTCATTTTTCCTTCTTTTATGTTTTGGTCAAGGCTAAATTGAAAAATTAGAATGATCTCTCTAATTGTTTATTCAATTCGGAATATGGGACAGATGAACAACTTGGTTATGTGGTTGAATGTAGCCCACGAGTGACTTATCGTGTTTGTGGCTTTTGTTTCTGCATTCAATCTTCCAAGTATAGCTCGGTTTATTTGCAGGAGAGAACATACAACTTCATAAATGGCTTGGAAGAGTTGTTGGTGAGTGTTGAGCTGCTATCTATTTTGCTGGCTTGCTTATGTACTTTTCTATTATAGCCTACCAAGGATGCACAGCTCTTTCCTTTCAGTGCTTAACCATATTACTTTGTTATTATTTAATGAAGACGTGTATGTTTTTAATTGCTAATGCATTGTAGGAAGGGCTTGATGATGAATCATTTGAGAGTTAGAGTGGACTAACAGCAAAGCTCCTGGAAAGAGATCCCTCCCTCTTATATGAGACCAATCGCCTTTGGAATCAGATATTCGATAATAGGTACACTTATCCATATAGTATTTTTGTTGGACAAACATAATTTTCCTTTTGCAAGTTAATCGTGTTCATGGAATAATTCTGATTATGGCATTACAAGCACTATACAACAACCTTGTGCAGAGAAGGGCAACTCATGTCCGTAAATGTTGGTTTTTAAGTTGGACTATTCTCCTCTCCATGACTATTTCTTTTGTTTCTGTTATTATTCTGCCTTGGTTCTGTAGGTGTATCTGGTTTAGAAAACTATTTACAGTTTTGCTGCTGCAAGATACATGTATGTGTGCATGCGTGTGTATAAGATAGCATCGTTCCTTCTTCTGTCAGGTATATGTTTGACATGTCAAAGAGGGAAGCAGAGGAACTCAAAAGCATCCAGAAGACGGACATTGTGAAGTGGTATAAAACCTATTTGCGAGAACCTTCACCTAAATGTCGAAAACTCGCAATACGTGTATGGGGATGCAAAACCAACCTAGAAGAAGGTGAAAATAAAACAGACTGTTTGCAGCAACAACAGCACATTAAAGACCTTGAAGCTTTTAAGATGTCATCGGAGTACTATCCCAGCCTTTGTTAAATGTAAACTAATTGATGATTCGGTATATGATATTCTGTGGTGATTTTTATTTGAAGGGATTATTATTAAGATTATAGATCTAATGTGTTATGTCAAAGTTTTTATTTTGTTTCGATATGATTTGATTTTGACCAGCTATTAAGATTTTACATTTCTGTAATTTATAAACTAATAATTATATATCAAATACGAAAATAGATGGATGTATTTGATATTTAGAGTAAACTAAATTACATATTACTATACTTTCATTTTTTTTCTTTTAAATATATCAATGAACTATAATTTAATACTTAGCATTAAATTTTATTTTGGATGTAATTATATCATTAGGCGGTTAACCCATTAATAATTGAATACAAGAAAGTTTAGTGTATCGATGTGAAAGGAAAAAAAAGTTTATTACATTTTATCGCTTGTTTAATAAAAATTAGGATTTATTCACTTATTCAATCATTATTGGAAAGTGTCATTATCCAATGTCTTTTATGGTCAACCTGAATACATATCAACTCGTCTGGTCATATTCAGTCTATATTTTCTTAAAAATCTCTTTAAAACTCATAAAATTATATAGATATAACTTTTCATTTTAAGGTTTTAGAAGTTTTTTTGAATTCAAAAGATTTAGGGGCTTAAAAATCAAATTGTGAGAGGCATAATTTTCAGAAGATGAACAACAAATCTCAAAATTAATCTTATTAGACGATCATCGTAGAAGATGAGAGTATTATCACATCGAACCTTTTATTTGAATTTTCATTTATTTTGAATAAGTTTCATGGAAAACTAATTCAAAAAGAAAAATAATGAAATACGAATATTTTAGTGTTGATCTTTTCGTAAATGGTAATCAATTACAAACAATGATTAGTTGTTAATGATGACTGAAAAAATTAATGTCTAAAATTGAAGCGTTATAAATTTTATTGACAAAACCAACATATAAACTAAAAGGTTTATATAATCTTAAAAAGTGATCTGTTAGTTTTATCTTATATAGTGTTCCTTTTATGTTACTATTTTTATTAATATGTTTGAAAGACTTTTAATCTTTTAACAATATACATTTATATATTTTTATAAATGTCGTACTCGAACTTAATATCTCAAGAAATAATAAAAATTCTTTGATTACCAAGTCTGTTTGGTTCATGTTACAATTTAAATATAAATAATAAATAAAGTGCCAAAAGTCAAATTATTAGTAATTTCAAATTACAATACAGTCCCCCATATTTCTATATAATTCCAAAATAAATCCCAGTTGATAGTGGGCCTGGACCCTGCAATCTCCTATCCCTAGTCTGTATTTTTCTCACTCATTTACCTATTGTCACTGTTACTTTGTAACTTCATTTGGGCTTAATACAAAATTAAATATTTGAAATTTGCGTCGAAATACATTTTAGTATTTAAAGAATTTTTCGTTAGAAATAGATGTTTAAAGTTTTGTCGATTATACTTTTAAGTGTCTATTGTTTATTTTTTTAATGATAAATATATTATTTTTAATTAAAAATAAAAAATTTAATCTATTCATTAAAAAAACTCATTTTTTTTAATGAAATTATTATAAAAATCCAATAAAAACTAAAATATTTCATTTCAACTCCCATTACCAATTATTTTTGGTCATCTCCGGCTACCATAGTCATTGTCGAATGGTCACCCATCCGTCGCCACCCACTCATTGATCAAACGTCGTTCTTTACCGTCACTAAAAATCTCTAAATCTAAGACCCAACATCCAAATATCTAATTCTCACTTTTAATTTCTTAACCCAAACGATTGTCGGTTATTTCCGGCCATCATCGACATCACCGAAGGGTTAGGTTTTGATCGAAATTGTACAGTGGTACGAATGGTGGTGTCGGTGTGGCTTGTAGATGTCGGAATCGACTCGAATCGATGAAAAACGACAACAATATCCGACAAACCTTTGAACGCTTCTCCACAACAAACAATAATAGGTTACGATGAAAGGTGAACGAAAGTTTGATCAGGAATCAACATCAGTGCTAATAAGAGTGGCGTGACAATCACAACCGATCGACCCATGACTATGGAAGGAGAAAGGGGAAGGGGAAAAGGGGAAGGAGAAAAGGGAAAGGGAAGGGAAGGGAAGGGAAGGGGAGGGGGGGAGGGGAGGGGAGGACATGGGCAGTTGCTTTTTTTTTCTATATATAACTTTTTTATTTTTTAAATAAATTTTTAAAATTATCAAAACTTGATGGTCACTTAACAAAAAGATTTTAAGGTGATTAATGTTCATACACCTAAAAAGTATAAAGTTTAAAACATTATAATTTATTTTTAACAAAAAATTATTTAAACACTAAATATATTTATTGACATAATTTGAGTATTTATTTTTGTATTAAGCCTTTCCTCTTATTAGTGTGTTACGTATACAAAATCCGACTAATCTATATGCTATAAGCAAACCCAAACTGTCTCTATTTCTCAGATTTCCCCTTTAATCGGACTCTTCGTCGTCCTCTTCTTCCTCTCCTTCTCAGCTCTTGCTTCAGTCCAAGGCAGGGCTTTCGTTCTCAACCTTCCTTTAATGCTGCAGATCTAGCTCTAGGCTAGGGTTCTTCTTTCCAATCAGTTTCATTTCGTCGACTATCCAACCCAATCGACGGAGATTTTCGTAGATCCGGATCAGAGTTCGAAATACGTAGCTTAGAAAACGACAAGTATGAGTGAGAACCAGAAGTTTCAGCTGGGGACGATAGGTGCTTTGACTTTATCGGTGGTGTCCTCTGTCTCCATTGTCATTTGCAACAAGGCTCTTATCACTACTCTCGCTTTCACCTTTGGTCAGTTTCTACTTCATTCATTTACTCGCACCTTTTTTTCCTTCTATCATTAGTTATGCTGTCACATCGTTATAATCATGCTCTGGAAATATCAATCCCTTAGGCGATGCTAAGTGACTGATCAGAATCTATTATGAATCTGAATTTGGACGCGTGTTAGTATGCGTATGATTCATCATTCAAGTTCCTCACTAAGTGATCAAACAACTCACGGTCGATCAAGAAAGAAATGCTTAGTTTTCCAATCCATCCCTTGCTACTTTTTTTCTTATGGGGCGTGTAATATAATGTATGGTGTTCTTATTCTTTGATATTATATGCCCCATAATGATAGTTTAGTTCAGCAGCTAAAGTTTACATGGTTTTGTCTAGCATTGCTGTGATCTGAAATGCTTAGTTTTCCAATCCATCCCTTGCTACTTTTTTCTTATGGGGCGTGTAATATAATGTATGGTGTTTCTTATTCTTTGATATTATATGCCCCATATTGATAGTTTAGTTCAGCAGCTAAAGTTTACATGGTTTTGTCTAGCATTGCTGTGATCTCATAAGTATTTTTCTTTTAGGTTTTATCTTCAGACTGTCTGATCTTTGTATGTCGCCTCAAGTTCCCGTTATTGCTGCATCATTTTTAGTGTTGAGTGTCATATTTCCTTATTTGTTATAATTGGTGAAACTTTTCTCAACTTCTGTCTTTGAATTAGTTCATGATACCAATTATGATCATGTAGCATATTATTTTTGACATATGATTGGAAAGTTTATTACATCTAATAAACCCTACCAGACATCCAGCAATTTGAAAAAAGCATCATCAGAATAATTTATAATCTTTTATTACTGTTCCTTTCGCTAATATTGGGTTTGGGTTCTGCAGCCACAACTTTGACAAGCTGGCATCTCCTGGTCACATTTTGTTC